CAGGGTGTCCGCAAAGATGGGGTTTTCCTTTACACGACGTGTAGATCTTGAAAACATAAGCAATTTTTCTTAGTACCATATACACTAATGTCTTAAGGGAACCGAAGTAAAGGGCTCTGTAACATCAAAAATATCTGAATACCGTCCTGTAGCCGCGACATCTCCGAGTGGTACAAAGTCACTGGCTCAACCCGACGACAGAACTGGGTCGGGGTCAGTGTGTCAGGTCAGTATGCAACCTTCAACCGACGGATACGGTCACGCATGTAGAGGTAAACGAACCCGTATAATCGATTGCGTTTCAAAAAACAACAAGCACTAGAGACGTGGCTAGAGAAGTGCAAGTATCAAAAACTAAAGTGTGGGAAACGCTGCGTGCAGAGGGGCTGTATCCGTTTCACGTCCAACGTGTACGAGCCCTTCAACCTGACAATTTTCCAGCAAGAGTGCGGTTTTGTGAGTGGTTGTTGCATCAACATGACAATAATCCAGACTGCATATTGGTGACAGACGAATCTACGTTCACGCATAATGGGGTGAATAACTTTCGCAACACTCATGTTTGGTCAGTAGAAAATCCGCACGCTGTCTGACGGGCACATTTTCAACAAACATTTTCGGTGAATGTTTGGGCTGGCATGGTGAACGGTATGCTCATTGGACCATTTATTCTCCAAATTGATTGGACGGGATGCAATACCTAGACTTTTTACGCAACATTTTGCCTTCCTTGTTAGAAGATGTGCCATTAAGTGTAAGACAATCAATGTGGTATCTGCACGATGGTGCACCGCCCCATTTTAGACGCGAAGTGCGTGAGTTTTTGAATGAATTATTTCCGAATAGGTGGATCGGACGTAATGGACCCGTAGCGTGGTCTGCACCATCGCCGGCGTCTGCTCGGTAGCGGATCAGCTGATTTCATTTTCTGTTGGAGCGGTATGATTTCGGGCAGAGACGTACTTAGCCCTTCTCGTCAACTGGAGAGTGAGTACTTTTCCCTTTATTTTTTTTACTTGGTCGCCCTCGTTTCACTACACATTACCTTTGTTATTTCAAGGGTAGTTGTTTCGGAAAAGGAAAACCCCAACTTTGCGGACACCCTGTATAGTAGAGTAGTACCGTGCGGTAATGGACGACGTTGGTCGATGCCGGTTACACAAAGGACCAGGCGGCGAGACGAAATGCACCGAGATATACGAGGTGGGCAGGATATAAATGGTTGGCCATATCCGACGAAAAGATGTTTTTTTTAAACATAGGAAACACATTTTTTACCGTTCATTTCAAAAATCGTTTATTTGGGTTCAAGGAGATTTGTGAACATCATTTTTTGAAAACGATATCTCTTAAATGACCGCCATGCGCCTGTACAGTGCCCGTGATGCAGCATTTTCCATCGTTTTGGCCGATGTTTCGGTTGATATGGAGGCGTTAAGTACGTCTAGGGGGTTTGGCTTGTTGACGTAAACCTTCACAAAAAGAAGTCTGGAGCCGTTAGATCTGGTCAACGCGGTGGCCAGTCAAAATCACCATTTTTCGAAATCAGACGTCCAGGGAACAACCGTTTCAAAGAATCGATAGTAGCTCGACCTGTGTGTGGTAGAGCGCCATCTTGTTGTAACCAGAAATGCTCCATACCATTGTCACGAACAGTTGGCATCAAAAAATCGGTTACCATAATGCGATAACGCTTCTGATTGACGGTAACCGGTTTGCGAGCTTCATCTTCGAAAAAGAACGGCCCAATGACCATACCAGCACAAATACCGTACCAAACTTTTTGGTCATAGAACCGACAATTTTGTTTGTTAACTGCTCCTTTTAACATGAAATAAGATTCATCGTCCATGATGATTTTTTGCCAAAAATTATCGTCACTTTCAGCCATTCGAGCCATCGATGACTCTCTGGGCCTATTCCAGTCGACGTGGCTTATCGGCAGCTAACAGGTTTTGCGTCAGTTGAATTTTGTATGGGAACAAATGCACATCATGACGCGATATGCAACGTAAAGTGGTTCGTTTTTTGCCCAACTGCTCAGATGGACGTTTTTGAGATGTTGTTTAGCAATTTATGGAGACCCGATTTTGGGGGTAATATCATATACGTACTATAAATATACATAACATAGATGACAGTTCAACTCCAGAACTGTAGAGAGGTACCTTTATTGCATGACCTTTTATAAAAAAGTTACTGTAGGATCTAGCGTTATGTCATCTGTATACGCAGTCCTAGGAAGGACATATCGAATAGAGTTGCATTTTCTAAATGGGACGCCATGTGTATTTTTATATATTTTTAGCGAAACTGGTAGTTGCCTTTTTGTGATTCTAAATATATAAATTATTGTGCTTATACCTTATCTAACCCGCCTATGCCAAACTGCATAGGCGGCTAGATGCTAACTGGTTTTTTCGACCGAACTAATGAAAATTAATATGAATATGAGAAACCATATGAATAGCTGGAATCAGAAAAAGTTGCTATTTGAAAAATTACATCTCTCTTCGATCTCAATTCTTCATATCAAAAACTTTTTTTGAAGCGATCAACGGTTAGAGGGGTTACTTCTGCAATCATTTATATTTTTCCTATGGAAGGCCACGTGGAATGCCCAGTAAGTCCATCCGGGTTTCGAACAAAGAATACGTATTTTGATCCCACTGTGAAATTGCACTACATGAAGAATTGGAATTGGTCCTTCTAACACAATTGACCCAGCAAAAAATAGACGCCTTGTTTACACCGAAGGATACCAAAAAAGTTTCTTAATCCGATTTTTGAACTGGCTAAGGCTAGTAGAAGTGGGAAGATCCTCTTCTTGTAGATTGTTCCATAATCTCAACACCCCACCGACAAAGGAGCGATCGTATTGGCCAGTTCTGAATGTACAAAGTCTGTCTGTCTGGCAAGCACATCGCGCGACGGCATCATGGAAGAGACCTTTGAGGAGCAAAGCCCGTTGGTACAGCGGTAGAAGAGAGCAATACTCGAGGCTGGGTCTTCTCTGGCCCTTGTATAGAGTGAGGAGGTCATGTGAACAAATAACCTAGCTTTTTCCAGCAGCTGCCGCTATTGACGAGATTTCCATCCATCGAAATCGCATAAAATCCTAAATTTATAAGATATCTGTCAAAAATACATGAAACGAAATTTATCAGCTAAAATATTATTTTCCTGGGTTATATGTTTTCCAGCATAAACAACCAAATACAGCTTCCTCTGGTAAACCTCGACATTATTCCACACTACCCTCTCCACAAAGAGCGCATTAACTTTGAATTATATTTACCTGTGATGTATGAAAACACTTATTGCATATAAATATTCTCCGCTAGAGGGCGCCCGAGGAAGCAGCATACTCCGCAATGCTTTTACCGCGCACTAACTTTAGTAATAATGTTTGTAACTCGATGAGGCTTATTCTCATTGAGATTTACTACCAAAATGTTTCTTGGTATTTCGTTTTGACGTTCCTTAGCGCAAATTAAATATTTTGTGTAATTTTATTCGTTTCCGGAGGAAATATGTCAAGTATGCAGTTAAATAAATTCTTTGAAAATGCGCCTGCATTCTAACGTAATTGAACCTGGATTGCGTCCGCGAAATATTCCGGATGCAAAATTATCACAATCTTTTCTGACAGGATGAATTTTTCGCCCACGTAAAGACAGGAATCGAATTGCTGGGAATAGCTAATATCCAGACTTGATAATTTGAGGTCTGGTCTCGTTCACGAGTATCCAATACATCTTGAAGCATACTGAGGCGAATAGCTCATCACCAGGTGACATCTTGGTACTAAAGCCTGTAGTGTTTACAATAATGAGTCGAGTGCTGATCGGCTAAAACTCTGGACCGTATTTAGAGCTTTTTATATCAAACATAGTCAAAAACTGTTTGTTTTCTTTTATTCCTACGTGAATTGAACTGTAGTTATGATCATTAGCAGTCATTTCGCTTGCAGTATTTTTTTAAATAAAAGCGTTGTTAGGAAGGATTGATCCGTAGCGTACAAAAGACCACAACGCAATGCGACTATCCAGCGTCGAAACATCCTTCAGAATTGTTTCACCTGTCACTTACCTATGGGGTATTTTGAAATGTTACTAGATAATCCACTGTCGTTTGCTCTTACGTTTGACATGCTAAATGTTCGTGAAAGAGGCTTTACATGAGAGCAAGACTATAGATAAGAGGTTAACTTGTGTAAGGGATACAAGTATTCATATGAAGTCGCCAAGAATGTTGTGACTTTTGGGAATATAAGAGTCATAGAGCGTTTGCGCATTGAAACATATCAAATCAACATAACCTGCCGTAATCTTTGTGTGTATTTGACTCACGTTTTGCCATGCTTTGTATGATTATTGCTTCGTGTTCCATTAATATTATCCAATATTTCTGCTTGTAACTGATCCGAACTGTCAAAACTGTTGTTATTTACAGCCATGATGACAGGAACAGAGAAAGTTACCACATGCGCAGGTCCAGAAATTCATTTTCTGTCGAGTGTACCAACTCACTCCATTGTACGTTGTGCCGTCGTCGACACATTTGGCGTCACCCGCACTCCATGACTTCAACCTCCTATGTATACCCTTCAGGTATGCAAGATATCAAATAACCTTTAAATCGTAGCTATCGCTGTTAACCCGGCATCCGACACGTAGGGTGTGACAAACCCCAACGATCGGATTTACAAGTTATCTATTAAAATTTCACGCCGACTGCTGGCAGCGCCTCAGTAGCTTTCAAGGACACTCCAATAAGTAATACGAGCCACATGCGGCAGTTGGTCTGTTGACGCCTAGTGAGTAGTATCGTCATAGGATTGTTTGGGGTTTGTCATACCCCACGTGTCGGAACTCGGAAGTTTTTTGCAGTTGTTTTATTTCACATTTTGTCGTGATTATAAAGGTAAGTCGCATTTTATATAACTCTTTAATTAAAACTTTACATTTTTAAACAGTATTTCAGAACTATAAAGAAATATGGGCGATTACGAGAAGGAGCAACGTAGGCTTTGGGCACTTTGGGAGGAAGTACAGAATGAAGATGAAGCGATCGATGGAGACGATTCAGAAGAAGAAGATGAAATAGATAATGTAAGTGTTTGCAGCGACTATCCCGATTTGGAGCAAAATCCTGAAGTTGTAGAAGATCAAGGCGATGAAACACAAGCCGAGGTCTTGGACACACGTAGTTTCTTTCTTGGAAAAAACGGGATGAAATGGTTCAAAGAGTGCCCTAGTAGGAATGTTCGAACTAGATCTGAAAACATAATTAGCCATCTTCCAGGAGTTAAAAACCATGCAAAAATGGCTAAAACTCCACTTGAATGCTTTTTCCTCTTTATTGATGAGGTAATGATCGTAGATATAGTTAAAAATACGAATCTAAGAATCATAGAAAAATCTGAGAAATGGAAGGAATCTCCCCATTATGGAGAAACCAATCCGGCAGAAATTAAAGCAGTGCTCGGCCTTTTGTACCTATCAGGAGTTTTCAGAAATAACCACCGATTTTTATATGAGCTATGGAATACCGATGGTACTGGTATGGATATATTTCCGGCTACTATGAGTCAAAGGCGATTTGAATTCCTCATTTCCTGTTTACGTTTCGACAACAAAAATAATCGCAAAGATAGGGTTAAATTGGATAAGTTGGCCCCAATTAGAGCTGTTTGCGATAGATTTGTTGACAACTGTCAGAAGGCTTATTCGCCGTCTCAGTATCTTACAATCGATGAAAAACTGGAGTCATTTCGTGGCAGGTGCTCCTTCAGACAATACATGCCAAATAAGCCGGCAAAATACGGCATAAAAGTACACGCCTTAGTAGATGCGCGAACGAATTATCTCCTCAATATGGAAGTTTATGTGGGAAAGCAACCCGATGGAGTATTTAATGTCAGCAATAGTCCTAAGGACATAGTGAGCCGCTTAGTGGCTCCAGTCTCAGGAACGAACCGTAACATTACTTTCGACAATTGGTATACCAGTGTTGAGCTTTTAGAAAATCTACGCAAGGATCACAAACTGACTGCGCTGGGAACTATACGGAAAAATAAACCATGTCTACCAGCACCTTTTTTGAATGTGAATAATCGAGAAGTTCATTCTAGCTTATTTGGATATACTTTGGTTAGCTATTGCCCGAAAAAAAACAAAATTGTACTGCTATTATCTTCTTTACATCATGATGATGCAGTAGATGAGTCAGAGAAAAAACTTCCAGAAATAATATCTTTTTATAACTTTACCAAGTGTGGCGTTGATGTAGTAGACGAGTTATCTGCATCATACAATGTTTCTAGTAATAGTCGACGTTGGCCTTTAACTTTATTTTTTTCCCTACTAAATACTGCAGGCATTAACAGTTATATTATATATAGAGAGAACACTAACAACAAATTACCAAGAAGAATTTTCTTGAAGCAGTTGGGTATGCAGTTGGCAGAGGTATTTCAAAGAAGTAGAATGACAAACCCTAGGCTAACAAGGGAGCTAAGAGGGAATATTCGGAAAATATTGGGTGAAAATCCTGAACCTGCATCGAAAAAGATGAGACCAAATCAACAAGGGAGGTGTTCAGAATGTTCCCGAACTAAAGACAGAAAGACCAGATACGTTTGTCAGACCTGTGAAACATTTATTTTCCTTGAACATGCGCTTAAGTTTTGTAAAAATTGTGCTGAAGTTAGCAATGAATAAAAATGTTTCTGTTCCATTTAGGCTTATTCGGTTTTCTCTGTATAAAAGTGTAGATTGTTTTCTTTCATGTTTAGCAACAATATAATATATACTGCAAGTTTTTTAATTTTTATTTGAAATTAGAAATTTGTTCCTATGTTCCAATAAAAAAAAATGTAATTTCAAATAAACTCGTTATGTGTATATTCAGATTGATTTTTTTTGTTGTTATACGAGTAGTATTAATATATACAATGTTAAATGATATTTGAATCATGAAAGTAATAAAACAAACAAAACTAGTAAATAAAAAGCCTGTCTATATTTGGGGTTTGTCACACCCCACCTGTCGTAACTTGTAATAAAATTTCACCTGTCGGATGCCGGGTTAATATTGAAAATAAGGATCACTACCTTTCCTGCTGAGGTGTTATAAAGCCCAACAATAAATCTGTAATTCGAGTATGAGTCAACTGAAAGTCTGCTAAAAACAAGCACGAACGGAGTCGAAACTATGGAAAAAATCGTCAACATGCAAAATGAAGGCCGCCAACACGGAACACCATCGAAGCAGACGGAATGTGAGGTTACGTTTCACCCACATCTGAGGTACGTTACCTCACATCGACATGACCTATTTGGATTGAATCTACACGTGGATAAAAATTGTGGTATACGAGGGATGTGTTTTAAGTTCTGCGTATAGAAACATAGTAGGCCGCGCGGATCGAACGTCAGTACTGAATCTTAACCTCACTCTTTAGTAAACCTAAATTCAAAGTTTCACAACAATACGAGCAGTGTTCTCACACCTAAATTTCCAAAATGGATGAATCATGAATTAAAAAATTTATTAATTCAAAAGAAAATGTTTAAAAACTTAAAAACAGAAGACAACTATATAAAGTTTTCAAAATTAAGATCACAATGCAGCATTTTATCCAAGAGTTCATATCAACAATTTATTCAAACACTTGAAGACCAACTACATGATAAAAAGTCCTTTTGGAAATTTGTCAATTCCAAAAAGGAGGATCTTGAATATCCAAAATCCATGTGTCTTAACGATGTTGAAACAGATGATCCACAAATAATCACAGAGATGTTTAAACAGCATTTCTCTTCTGTATATTCGGAAAAGCAGGGCTCCTGTATTAATTAAAATTGCAAGTCTGACAAATGTTCTAATTTAAGTAGTTTAAGTGTATCTTCTATAGAAGTTTTTAATAAAATTGAGTCCTTGAGTATTAACTTAGGAGTTGGTCCTGATGGAATTCCGGCAATTTTATTACAAAATTATAAATGTGTTTTATCTGATGTTTTATGTAAAATTTTTAACTTGTCACTTGTCACGGGTATTTTGCCCACTCTCTGGAAGAGGTCATATGTAGCACCGGTTTTAAGGAAGGGGATAAGTCAAATATAAAAAATTATAGAGCTATTTCTAAGATCTCAGTTATTGCTAAGGTTTTTGAGTCCATAATTTATGACAAAATATCTCCATGTGTCAGGAATATTATAATTAATGAGCAGCATGGCTTTATTAAGGGAAAATCAACTGTCTCAAATCTCCTTACCTATGAGCACCTTCTGTTGAATGCCTTTGAGAATAAATATGTAAATGCTGTATACACAAAGGCGTTCGACAGAGTTGATCATGGTATCTTGGTAAGCAAGCTGAGGTCAATTGGCTTACATGGCACTCTACTTAAATGGCTTGAGAGTAATGCAACAGATAGATACCAAGTGGTTAAGTTCAAAAACCATATATCCTCAGAAATTAGTGTTACATCGGGTGTTGCCCAGGGAGGCCATTTGTCTACGCTTCTATTCAATATTTTTGTGAATGATATTAGGGATATTTTTGTTAATTGTCTTTTTCTTGGCTTTGTGGACGATTTAAACATTTTTAAGATTATTAGAAATACGAGTGATTACCTCGCTTTGTCGGAAGATTTAAATAGGTTTTCTCATTGGTGCAATGTAAATAACTTAATGCTAAATACTGATAAGTGTAAAGTTATAACCTTCTGTAAAATTAAAAATCCAATAGCTTTTGAGTACTCACTAAACAATGAAATTTTACAGAGAACAAACCTAGTAAGGGATTTGGGTGTGTGGCTTGATTGTGAGTTAACATTTGTGTCTCACATTGAGAAAATAACATCAAGAGCTATGCGTCTTCTGGGATTTGTTTTTAGGAGTCTTAGGGACGTCAATAATGTTTTTATTGTGAGAGATGTTTACTGTGCTTTAGTAAGATCATTATTTGAATATGCCAGCTCTGTTTGGCATCCTTATTATGCTGTGCACAGAGATAGTATTGAAAGAATCCAAATAAAATTTCTTAAGAGAATAGGACTGAAGCTTGGCGTTCCTTATGATGACATTAATTGTCAGGACCTAATGCCTCTACTGAACTTAACGCCACTTGTAAACAGAAGAGATATGTTTGATATTTTCACACTTTTTAAGATCATTAACAATCAAATTAATGTACCTGATCGCCTTGCTCTGGTTGGTTTTCATATACCGTCAAGGGAGTCAAGAAGTAAGTCATTATTTCATATTCCATATCATAGGACAAATTATGGTGTGAATTCTCCTATAACCCGAATGTGCATGAAAGCAAATAGTGTAGTGCAGAAGTGCAATAAAATTGACTTTTTCAATGATAGTTTTAGGATTTTTGCGAATAAAGTGAGAAATGTAGTGCAGTAATAATTGGTCTTGTTGTATCTAGTAGTGTTTAAGATTGTAGACCGCCCTCTTGTGATCATGCACCATTAATGATTTTATATTTTGTATTCTTATTTATATTTAATTTCTAATTTTTTCTAATTTCTAATCTCACTACAGTGAATTTTTAAGTGTCACCAAGTCATTAGAAAAATGGAACTCAACCGAGAACATTTTCGCGCCATAATTTATTACAACTTTCAGAGAAAATTATCGCAACAAGGATGCCTTGCTGAGTTACTGTCTGTTTTCGGCAGCGAAGCGCCACAGTCGACAATTTCCCGTTAGTATGGAGAATTCAAACGTCGACGGGTGCGTCTTAGCGACGATTCCAGGGTGGATGCAAAAAAAACGGCAGTCACCCAGGAAAACGTCGATGCTGTGCGCAAACTCATCATTGAAGATAGACATGATGTGACATATCGCGAAGATCTCAAAGTCCTCAATTAAAAGAATTGTACATGAAGAATTAGGAGTATGAAAATTAGCTTCTCGTTGGATACCCCACCTGTAGACTGAAGAGTAGAAAGCAGCCAAGGTTAATTGGTGTCAAATACCGCTTGACCGTTTCAATTCCGGAAACTCAAAAAATGTGTACAGCATTGTTAGTGGTAATGAATCGTGCATTTACTGTTATGAACCAGAAAATAAACGACAGTCGGCTGATTGGGTGTTCCAAGGTGAAGAAAAGCCAACAAAAGTCATCCGTTCTCGAAGTGTTTCGAAAAAGATGGTCGCGACATTTGTGTCAAAAGCGGGTCATTTTGCAACAATTCCTCTTAATGAGCAAAGAACTGTTACTGCGGATTGGTATACCACCATTTGTTTGCCAAAAATCATCACCGAGCTTCGAAAAATCAACGCCTAAACAAGAATCATCCGCCACCAATACAATGCAAGCTCGCACATAGCCCAAAAAACAAGGCAGTATTTAACGGAAGGAAACGTGGAATTATTGGACCATTCTCCATATAATCCCGATCTAATTCCTAACGATTTCTTTACTTTCCCGAAAATTAAAAACAAACTGCGTGGTCAAAGGTTCCAGTCACCAGAAGAAGCAGTTGACGCATTCAAAAATGCCGTTTTGGATCTGCCAGCTAACGAGTGGAATATGTAAGTGCTTCGAAAATTAGTTCGAGAGCATGCAGATGTGTATTAATCTTCGTGGAGAATACTTTGAAAAACAATAAAGTCATTTAGAATTACATACCGTGTTGTTTTATTTCCATACGCGAAACTTAAAAGACATCTCTCGTATTTATTTTATAACGGTTCTAGCACCCCGAACGGTTTTAATTAACTCTTCGCATCTGAGTGTCAACAGCGTGCACGGCACAGTGAGTACTGTCAGAGGGATTATGATTACAATAGGGTGTGAGAATCTTCGAATTCGGACACAAAATGTTGATCGACAAATTTTAGAGCAGCTGAAGTACTTTTTAAAAGAGGCTATGGAACGTCAACATATACAAATATAGGCTCTCGGTCCTTCTTATATGCCTAAACCGCTAAGGTACTTTGAAATATTTTCAAGTTACCAGTTAGCGCCAGTCTATTTAGTCAAACCTTAATCTTTAAGATTAGGCATACTAAGATAAAAGATGGTTCAAGATTGTCTTTTTGCAAAATCTGGTGGTTTAGCTGGAAAATATATTCGTGTTCGTTTCATAAAGCTCCTCTTGACTTGCACTGCAACCGAGCCTTCAAAAACCCTGGAAAGCAGATTGCGTGAAACCAAAACTTATATTTTCGACTTGATTACGAATTATATATACTAGGTGACATATACATCGGAACACCCAGTTTAAATGGTTTTATTTTAATAAAACTGTATAAGTACTTAATGAAGCATAATAAGTAAATGATAAAAATTTCAAAATGATTGCACTGCTTTTAAGCCCTTTGACCTTTAATAATGTGTGGATGCACCCTGATGTGCTGCGCATTCTCCAACGCGCCTAGGCATGCTTCTGATCAGGTGGTCAATGTCCTCCTGTGGTATCTCATTCCAGGCAACCACCAACTCCTCTCGAAGTGCTTCTAGAGTCTGAGGAGGACGTTGCAAATTGAGCAATCTCCTATCCATCATATCCCACACGTGCTCAATTGGGGATAAGTCGAGAGATCTTGGTGGCCATGGTAACAATGTGACATCATTATGTTGAAAGAAGTCTATTGTGACTCTTGCAACATGTGGTCGGGCATTATCTTGTTGGAAAGTTGGATCTGCCAGGGTGTCAAGATAGGGTAAAAGATGGGGTTCTAGAACTTCGTGGATA